GGCGGTATGCTTTTTTCCCCTTTTATTATTTTCTCTATTTTTAACATTTTTTATTTTAACTTTCAAACTTCCCGCCGGTTCCGCGGCCGCTCGCAAGGGACGGAACCCGGAAGTCAGCAGCCGCCGGAGGACACAGCGGGGATTGGGGGCAAGGTAAGTCCTACGCTGTATTCCCTAGTGTGGCTCGGAGTTACCACTTTGTTACCCCCGAGCCACACTCGGGAATACCAATGGAAACGTGCGGGAAAACGCCCCAAAGAAGCTCCTGTACTTGTTTGGGCGTGGGGCGTTTTTCAGCGCTGAAATCTACCCAGGTGGGAACCATGCCCATAGGGAAGTATGGGATTTCACTGTTTGAGCGTTTTTCAGCGCTTCGATCAGCGCTGAAAAACGCCCAGGTGTGAATCCAGCCTTACATTCTCTTTAGGATTCCATAGGTGAGATCCCCAGGCTCTGGTTTCTTGCTTTATTCCTCAATACACTATATGTTTAACAATAGGTAATGGATAGAACTAGAGGTGCACCGAATTTAAAATTTCAAAACTGAAATGAAAAAAAATTCAGTCCGCAACGGAACATGTTTTTTTTATTTTAACCTTTTTAATTTTCTTTTTTTAATATTTTCTTTTTATTTATTTATTCTTTTCTATTAAATATTTTTATTTTTTACTTTACTTTTAGGGGCTCCAGGGAAATATTGGGGGTCTAAACAGACTCCTGATATTTCCCTTTTTCCTTATAAATGAACAGGAATCCTCGATACTTAGTGTTCATGTTCATTCATAACATGAGGACATAGTGTGTTTACTATACCACAATCATGAATGAACAGGAGGCGAGGTAGAACACTTCCCATTCATTCATAATTGAGGATATAGTCAACATACTCTGTCCTTTGTACTTCTCTCCTTCCTGACACACTGTCACAGGAGACAGAGCGAGCAGAGCTCAGCCTGCTGTGACAGCGCTGGCTGTCTTCGCCCACACCGCTCTCCCGATCTGTGACAGGAGGCTGAACGGTGGCGGGAGGAGAGATACCGGCCTTCTACAGCGCCCTCCTCCCAGAGCGCTCGGGCGCCTCTAACATTTTGTCTCCTCCCTGCTGGGACACAGAGCAGCACCCAGCGGGGAGGAGAGAAAGAATGGATGCACTGCTATATCGGCAAGAAAATTGCACTTTTGGCATTTTGTCAAAAGTGCCATTTTCGGTGATATATCGGTGCATCCCTAGATAGAACTACAAAGAAAAAATACCTTTTAAGTTCAGAAAAATACCTGTTGAACTGTTAGAAAATATTCACCTAACTACTTCATGTAGTGAGCTGAATGCTGAAATCCACTCTTCTCCCAATGACTTCCTGTAGTGCACTGACAACTCTGTGCACTGAAATCCCAAGCAATGTTGTCCTGCCTGCTGGACTACAGAATTATGCCTATTTTTCACACACTCTCTTTCCCTCTCCACATGCATACATTATTTTCTTCCCAGCATAACAGAGCTGCTGCTTGGCTAGTTCTGGTGTGTACCTATGTCAGTACAAACTGACCTCCCAGCAGCTTCCCTTGCAATTTTACAATCATGATGATGATGTTACAGAGAATAATACAAGTGCTTTTTTTGCTGCAGGAAAGAAAGGAAAAATAAATATGAAATCTAATGTGGGAGAGTGGTGGATTGGGGGCAAATGTGGGTAATGCCTGCATGCACACTTTAAGTTAAAAAAAAAAGATTCCAGATCTTTCTATTACACATACACATTTAAATGATATGTAAAATCAAACATGGCGGTTGATGGCAGATGCAAGTTGTGCAATAATAGACACTAGTATCGTTTAGACCCCATTCTGACTATTGCTCTGCAGTAACAATCATGTCACACTCTTTGGTAAGTTTCAGTGCCAACTATTCTGAACGGCACGGCAGTGCACCTTCTCAGCACACCTGGATTGCAGTGTTGCTGAAAATTTTGCCATTAGTGGTACATTATGTCGGCTATCCTGTCACAGTATACAAAAGCATGCATGTATCAGACTGCAGTAGATCAAGCTGGTGTGAATGTGCCCAAATACAGAAAAGTAGTAAAAGAATGGCAGTTGTATCTTCATCACAAGACAAAAAAATCTAGATATGATGGATATGTTTATTAAGATAAGGGTGACCGTAGCGTGAGGATTATCAATAATAATAATACAACCCCAATTCAAAAAAAGTTGGGACACTGTGCAACATTTACATAAAATCAGAATGCAATGATTTGCAAATTTCATAAACCCATATCTTATTTACATTAGATTACATTGATTGGGTATAAAAAGAGCATCTTAGAGAGTCGGAGTGTCTCAGAAGTAAAGGTTAGCAAAGGTTCACCAATCTGTGAAAAGCTGCATTTAAAAATTGTCGAACAATTTCAGAATAAAGTTCCTCAAGGTAAAATTGCAAAAACTGTAAATATATCATCATCTGCAGTACATAATATCATCCAAAGCTTCCGAGAATCTGGAGAAATCTCTGTGCGCAAGGGACAAGACCAAAATGCAATATTGGATGCCTGTGATCTACAGGCCCTCAGACGGCACTGCATTAAAGACAGGCATGATTCCGTGATGAACGTCACTGCATGGGCTGAGCAATACTTTGAAATATCACCTTATGTGAACACAGTTCATCATGCCATCCAAAAATGCAAGTTAAAGCTCTATCATGCAAAGAAGAAACCATGAACATGATCCAGAAACGCCACCGTCGTCTCTGGGCCAAAGCTCATTTAAAATGGTCTGTTGGAAAGTGGAAAACTGTTCCTGTGGTCAGACGAATCAAAATATGACAACCATGGGCACCGTGTCCTACAGACTAAAGAGGAGAGGGACCTTCTGGCTTGTTGTTAGTGCTCAGTTTAAAAGCCTGCATCTCTGATGGAATGGGGTTGCATTATTGCATATGGAATGGACAGCTTGCACATGTGTAAACGCACCATCAGTGCTGAAAGATATTTCCAGGTTTAGGAGCAGCATATGCCCCCATCCAGATGGCATGTTTTTCACGGAAGGCCTTGCATATTTCAGCAGGACAATGCTAAATCGCAGTTTGGAGTTTGTAATTAATATGCCTCTTTACTCCAGGGTTTGTTTATATTTGCTATGTGGCCACACCCATCGCAGTGTAATATAAAGTGGGGTAGGCATTCTATTAAGATTACTATATATAGGGCTGCAACTAATGATTTCATAATCTGTTAGTTGGTCGATTTTTTTTTTCCGATTATTCGGATTAAAAAAAAAAGAATAAATACCATCTTTAATTTAAAATAAAATACACAAATGTAATGCTACAAACATAAAGTTTACGTCAGAAAAAAATTGCATGCACACTTTTTTGCAATCGCACTGTACTGGAATGCACGGCATTGCGTTACCGTGTGTTCCAGTGCAGGTGATCACACTTTGGGTGGGAGGTGCGTTTGTGGTGCCATTGAAATAACTGACTTTTTTCCCACTATATACACTGAGTGGCCAGATTATTATGACCACCTGACGTTTGTAGGCAAATTAGCTATAATTTTGCGCTGAAGTTGCTAGAGGGCCAGACCATTATAAATAGGGAAGCAGGTTCTTTACCACGACAATTGGCAATTTGAAACACTGCTGCTATTGGGTGTTTCAAATTGCAATAGCAGGCTGGCTGTTGCACCCGCCCACTGCTTGCTGAGCCCTCCTCTAGTGTGGAAGAGAGAGCTAGTGGATCCAACCAACTATTCTCATTATTGATTATTATCGATTTAATTGAGCAGCCCTAACTACTGTATATAGAGATTCTCTTTTTACAAAATAGCTCTATTCCTTGCATATTGATCCTGTTATTACACAGTTTTGATGTGCAGTATGTGTTGGTTCTCAGTTGTTTTGGCTCAATTCTGCAATCACAAAGTCAAACCCCTGTAAAATTGAAGGTTGGTCCCAAGCATTCCAATGGCAAGGAACCTAGGAACCCATATAGTTGCCGCTACAGGAATGCGGTAGAGAACTCAACCACAAAGGTGTCACCACTGAGCTCCAGAGAGACATAATAAACTCTTTAGTCGGTCTATAATAAGAAACCCTTATTAGAAATTTCTGTGATATGTGTAAGAGGTTTTATGAGTAAGCTGGACTAAAGATTAAATCCATTATTTGCTAATTATTGGCCTGCACATGCACTAATTGGATATCTCTCTAAAGTGGGTCCCTGGTGCTTGAAATGGTGAAATAACTTTACAGGAACAATTAGATTTCTGTGGGTTACAACAACACTGTATGTTTTGCAGATTAGTATTTTTAAACATGCCAGAAGATGTAGTTTCCAATTCGATTAACTGCACTTTGAACAAAATGGCAACTTCAGAAACAGAATATAAGAAGTCATTATGGCTTCTGACCTACAGGTTGCACAACTCTTGCTCTGGACGGCTGCCATAATAAGTTGTAGCAATAATAAAACAAAGGGTTTCATTTTCTAAGGCTTCCAACCAGCGTGTTGCACAGCTTTGTTGTGGAAAGCTGCCATAATAAGTTGTAGCAATAATAAGAGACTTTCTATTTTTTGGGACACTGGCTTACAGAATTTTATAGGGTTTTTAAATGAAGCAAAATGGTTTATGGGTTTTTCCACTTTCAATGCTGATGGGCAGAAGCTTCTGCTCAGACACCCTGCTGTGTAAAGGGTAAACAAGAAGGAGAGAGGCTGCTACAATGCTCAATGTTGCTTGACTAGTTTTTGCCATGCTGAAAACAGCTGTGTATCTCTAAGCCCTATAGCAGCTTTGGAGCTGATGTTTTAATACTACAAACCGCTCACCATTGGATTGTTTGACTAAGGGGACCACTGTTTTTCTGCATTAGCCTGCAATTCAATAGGTTTTCCCTATTCTTGTTCTAAATGGAAAATACCTTTATCGAACTTTGATAATCATTAAAGTCTGTTGTACATGGTTTCGTTCTAATTATGTATTTATTTTATTTTGCAGATATTTGAAAGAATTTTGTTTATATGGGCAATTCGGCATCCAGCAAGTGGATATGTTCAAGGAATAAATGACTTAGTCACACCATTCTTTGTTGTATTCATTAGTGACTATGTGGGTAAGTTTCAGCACTGATGAAATAGGTTGTATAGTTGTTTCTTTTTTAGACAGTGTTGATTTTTTTTTTACTGTGAGACAGCAAGCTTGGATACAAAGGTCTAATCAAATGTGTTTGATGCTTTTTCATACCTCCCTTTTAACGACTTGCATCCAGGGCAATTTTTTACTTTTTTGCACACACATTTAAAATCTGAATTTGTGGCTAGAAAACAGCTTAAAAACTTCCAATTTATATAGTTTCTGCAAGCAGAGGCCCTGTAGGATAATTAGTATTTTTTAATATTGCATGATATTTGTGCAAATGTTTATCAAATTGATATTTTTAGGAAAAAAAAACACTAAACATTAATTTGTGGAAGCTATAAAACCTGGGTTGGGTCAGGAAATGAGATGCTGAACATATCAAGCCTTAAAAGTGCACACACCTGTGAAATGGCAGTAAACTAAGACACCCAAAATTTCCCATAGGCAACGTTTTAAAAGCTGTGTGTTGCAATTGTCGTCTTCGCACATAAGCACACCCAATGTGCATGTACATAGGGGTGGAGGGATTTTTTTTTTTTTACACTTTATTGCTATCGCATAGGAGGCAAGCATGCTCTGTGATAGCACATAAGAAGTGCAGGTCTTTTTATAGAGACATCAGGAGTCTATTAGACCCTTAATGTCACCTATGAACCCCTGATGAAACACATTGGAACTGGAAGTGAGGAAATCGTTGTCACTTCCGGGTTCAATAAGTTTTGGGGAGATCAGTCACTGGAATTGTGCTGACCTCCCCCCTGGACAAGCTGCATAAAGCTGCTATGCCAGTCCCGGGTCTGATCACTTGTATGTGAAAGTCAGCAGTCATTTAAAAAGAACAATATGATGATAATGGCTTCTGCAGCAGCACCGTTTGTATACAGTATGTATTGCGGTCCTGAAGTGGTAAAGGACAAGTATACTTATTTTTTTGTCTCTTTCTCCTCCCCCTGCAGTTTGGAACTATATTATTCTTAAAGGAGAACTATGGGGTTAAGGCTTTTCCCCATAGTTCTCCTTAGGGTAACGGGAAGACACAAACTAGCGTCCTCCCGTCACCCTAGGCTCAGTATACCGCGAGCTGCAGCTCGCGGTATACTGAGACGCCGCAGTATACCGCGAGCTGCTGCTTGCGGTATACTGGGATGCCGCAGCTGAAGCAGATCCTGACAATTGTGCCGAGATCCGCCCAGCTGCGTGACTCACAGCTGGCTCTGCCTATCTAGAGCTGTACCCGCCCCCTTCTCCGTCAGCGCTGGTGGATCTTCGATTATAATCGATTATGTCGATTAGTTGTTGCAGCCCTAATCGGAGCGGGGAGGGGGGAATCCAGCCGTGAAAGGATCGAGAGGTGAGCGAACACCGGTATGTGTCCGCTCACCTCTCGATCTACTGAGCCGACCTGTGACAGTCTCATTGTCACAAGTCGGCTAGAACTATGAGGTGAGTGGAAAGCACTCACCTCATAGTTCTCCTTTAACTTGTACAGCCCTTAAAGCATATGTCTGTCGTATATAAAAAAAAACAAATGTCTGGAGTACATGCACATTTCATAATGTTTAATCCCTATAAACATGCTGCAAGTTCAGGAAATAACTGTTGATATGCCAGAAATAGAGTATGCTCCTATCTTCCTCATTGACTTGGCAACACAGGTCTGAATCCCTGAGCCCTTCTACTTCATTTCTGATGGATTACAAGGGATACAGATCTCTCCTCATCCCCCCCCCTCCCCTCCTCCTATCTCCATAACCCCTCTTTGTGCACTATCCGTATAAGAAGTTACCAGCTCACAAGATTTGTGGCAAAATCAAGAGGTATTTTTGCACTTCTTGAACAGATATAAAAACTGTTTATATTTTCAATGGTTTATTTAGCAGACCAAAAGGAAACAAGAGTTTGTTGTTGAATTATTATTGTTTGCCAAGAGAAAGCTAGTTACTAAGCTCCCCAAAAAAAGCACAAAAAAATGTGTGTTCCACACCAAGTGACACTACGCTCAGGTGTCAACAGGCACCACTGAATATAATTGGGAATCCTACTGTGCAGCATTGAAGAACTCTGTGTAAAGCATCAGTTCACACTTCGAATTCATCAGATGTGAATGGGACCTTAGAGTTTACATACACTTCAAAGCTGAACAACAGAGAAAAAAAGATTTACCCCTGTAGTGGGTACCCTCTCCAGGGTTAACTGCTCATTTTGCCTGGAATAGGATAAATAGGGAGACATGTTTGCTCCACGCTTTTTCCTTGCGTCTTCAGCAGTCAGTGCTCTCCTCTACTGACCAATGCTCTGAAATGTGGGAGGGCCATTGGCATCCCCCAGCAGTCCTTCATTGTATGGGACGGTGCCAGAGAACTCTGACCAGGGGACCGGTTGCACAATTAGGAGGAAACCCACAGGAGTGATGAATAATATAATTGTCATCTAATTCATCATCCCCTAGGCAAAATGAACAGTTAACCCCTCCCCACTGCAATGGGGTGATGTAAATCTATTTTTTTCCCCTTGAAGCTCAGCTTTAATAGACATAACTGTGCAACCATCCCACCACTGCGTAGCCTCTAGTTACATTCAAATGCATACTGAATTGGCACCTGCGCACTGCAATAATCATCCAACCAACTAGTGGTTGGAGGGAGGGGAGATTGAAAAGGAAAACTGCACTTAAAATGCTTAATGGGAATACTCCACTGTTGTTTTGAATTAATATAATATCAATGCTACTTAATTAATGTTGTAATTTATGCTTTTTAAAAATTACCTTTTTCTTCCAGTCTGCAGCCAGCTGTGTATTATAAGCAGTGCTAGCTGTCCTTAGGTTCACATATTACAATCTGACTGTACAATCTTTCTACAATCAACTTTAGATTTGCCAAAACTATGCAATCAGAATGGCCTTAGCCATAAACAGTTGTTGGTAGCTCTAAAGGAGATTTGCAAAATCAGATTGTAACATGTGGTGAACTTCAGGTTTACTGAAGTGATAGTTTCATATTTAGTTCATATTTAAGGGTGTTACACCTCTAAAGGGATGCCATGGAAATGCAGTGTTTCTTATTATAAGTCCATGTAGTTATATTAGGCATGCCCTCCCACTTAGGACTCACCTTTAACAAGGCCTGTCTCTGTTTCTACCAAACATCAATATTGTGTATGGACATGTCTCCCTCTTTTGGGCTTTGTATTCTGACATCAGCGGATGTGCCACTGTCGGAATACTCGAACAGCGGCAACCAGCTGATTGGCTGGCATTACTGTTCGCCCTAAGATTTTCTGATCGAAGGATGTCTGGTGGAAGGGTGCTGACAGGCACCCACTGTGCGAATTTTGGCCGGTTTATCAAAAACCAACTGAAATGTGCACAGTGTATGGCTAGCTTTAGCAAAGACTGTTTTTTTTTTTTTTTAACTTTAAGGCATTTTGGTAAAACCACCCTGGTATCTTTTCACAGGAGCATGTGTCTGGAAAAAGGATATAGTGCCCCTGAATTGCAGTATTTTGCTTTGACAGAACTACCTTTAAAGTAATTATGCCTAAATAACTGGTGTTTTTCACACTTGTATCACAAGGCATGCTTTGGTTATCCCTTTATTGCTTCTCTATCTTTATACATCTATCTTTTCAAAGGGAAAATGCTGAAGCAGATTTCACGAAAGTGCTACTGTATACATTCTCTCAAGGCTTTTTTCCTGATTCACCTTTCTCTGACTTGTGGTGATTACGCTCTGTGTCCTAATGTCACATTTCGCGGTAATCGAAAAGGGCAACCTGCCCTTGAGTTTGGATTTGCATGGAAACACCTTTTTTTCTTTGTTTCCAATTCTTTTTTCATTGGAGGTCTATTCATTGCTTAGCAACTAATGAGAACTACTGCTGCTTACTCCCTAATCATCTCTTAAGTAGGGTAGAGGCCTACTCCTGAGAGTGCTTGCAGTTTTTGCCTTTTACTCCCTCATTTGACAGGTAATGAAAATGCTCTTAATGATCCCAGAGCAGTTGGATCTCTGTTGGAAGACTTTAGAGTTGTTAATTGAAATAAGAAGTTCAGCTGAGATGTGATTAGAGAATTGATATTCCATGTTAAATAGACCATTTAATTAATGTAGTAAATAAGTTTGTCCTAACTACTTTGCCAGGAACTTGCATTGTAGGACCCGAGTGGCTGTTAATGTAGTAGCATCTGTGTCAGGATCATAGGTGAACACAAATACTTATTTATCTTCTCGGCAAATACAAGAGGGGCTTGTTTACACTGGTATGTATTTCTCAGTGTCGTTCTCTCTTTTGGCTCATCTCACCTCAACATATTGCAGTGCTGATTTCCTTTAATGATTCTACTTGTAGATCTATGACAAAACAAAGCTTTTGTATTGGTTTAAACATGTAAATATGCCTCCACATTCTTTTTTGTTCTAACTGTGTGAGAATAATAAATTATAGCTTAGTAACATTTAACTGGTTCAGTTTATCTTATTAAGCACCTTTTCCTTAAATACGAAAAAAAACACTTTGAATATTGATTTGTCTTATATGTTAATTGAACATGTAAACATATTGAGGGGAATTGATGGTGCAGACAAAATCTGGAGCAGCTTTGCATAATAACCAATCTGCTTCTCTCTTGAGTTTGTTCAGTTAAACTTTAAACATGAAAGATAGAAGCTGATTTGTTGCCATGGGCAAGTGCTCCAGATTTTGTCTGTTCCAGTTTTAATAAATTCCCCTTATTGTGTTTTCAAAAAATGTTTCTACTTTTCTGCCTTGCCCATAGAAAAAATATCTTTGTTTGCAAATATGTTTGCTTATTGCTTTGTTTCGGCATATTTATCCTTGGAACACTTTATACTTTAAAATAACCAGTCACAATTTGACCTATGCAAGAATCATTTAATTTTAAGCGTAAATTGTTTATGTGGCCCTAGCCACTTTGTGTGATTTATATATTTCTCTCATTTAGCTTTTGTCTTC